GCTCTACATCATATAAAAGGAAAGATCAAGATATTTCCTCTAAATGTGGATTTTAATACAATATTGGTGACATCTTGGGTAAGGTCTCACTTAAGAGAAGGAAAACTTACTGATAGATAAGTAAATATTTGGGAGGCACTCAACATAGAAACCAGTTTCTACAAATGGGAAGAAAACTTAAAGCAACTGTTTATAGGTTGGAGGACAGCATAAATAGACCGAAGACCAGGTAGTTATTACACAAAATTGCTTGAATGGTACATTTTGCTGCTCTGCACAGGAAATGGCTACATGCCTGAGTGAGCATTTACTGAAGGAGAGTAATCTTTTATGAACAATTTGTAGGCCGAGAAGCTACTGAATTAGTCCATTTGAAAAATATAGATGTTGATGCCTTGCACCCATTCTTAGATTTCTCAAACAATCCAGAAACAGCCTCGGATCTTCTTCAAGAATTAATCTGTATAAACACATATTAGATAGCCTGACCTCATCTAAAGTATACACGACTCTCCTAGTTGGGGAAGGACACACAAGGAAAGAAAATAAACAGAACAGTGCAAGTGATCAGTAGTGAAGGTCAGAAAATTCTAGTGGGACCTGAGAATCAACTTATCCAGGGAAAAACTACACTTTAAAGAGGTCCTCCAACTTCTAACAGGGAGTTTTTGGGGGGCTTGTTTTGTTTTGTTCTGTTTACCAAAGAAGAAGTTTTGGAGATTTCTTGAAGTCTATCTCATTCTTCCAGTTTCTTGACAGGGTCTCTTGACCCTGATGAAGAACTACCAAAAGAACTACCAAATATGATGCTGCCAAAAACAACTAAAAAGGAAACTGCACCAAGCCACTTAACACCAAGGCTTAAAGCTAAAAAGAATCCCAGTACATCCCTTGCTGGGATAGCATTTCTTTTCCTTTCAGGACTGCCGTGAATATCAGTTACTCTGAATCTTAAGGAAAGCTCAAACTTGTAGATATTTTTTAAGCAGGAAAGCCATGAGGTCTCCTAAAAAGTTATGCTCCAGAAGATAAAATCTCTGGATCTCAAGGGTTGGGAAGTTTAAGGATTCTGGAATAATAGCTTCTCTTACTCCAGAAAGTTCAAGGATGCTGAACTGACAGGTTTAAGAATCCAAGAGAATATGCATTCCTGACCCCTCACTTCTATTAACTGCTCAAAGACCCAAAGATATAGTTTTCATTTGCATGTTTCAAATTGGCACCTGCTTAGTCTGTTGACCTGTAGATTGTTTGTTAGCTCAAATATAGGTTATTTTAAGTATTATATGCCATATGTTGTGAGCAACTCAAAGCAGACAGATCTTAATGAGGGTTTGAGAAATATCTTTATTATTGTAGTGTTTATTTACAATACACAACTTCCTGTTCCAGTTTCATTCAGTATTTTTAACCTGTGCTTCTTTATTTCAGTACAAGAGTACAGGTATTTCACAGAGGCTCTTCTCTTGATTTCACACTAATAGCAACCAATCCAAAATCAAACATAAGGGTACAGAGATCAATTTTCTTACCTGCATGTAAAGTCAAAGAACTTACTCCATCAACCTGCCTGAGACAACCATTTAACTTGAACTAAATGAGACCTATCTTAGCTCCGTCAGTGATATAGAAGATCAACTGGTTCCCAACTCTGGCAAGTCCAGTGACTGACTGGATGTTCTGTAACATGAAGAGGTTTATAAGCACTATGGAAAAGCCACTACATCCAGTCAGTGTCACACAATGTAAATGGAGACCCTGGAGGACAAGTACTTGAGGTGATCTTAGAATAAATACAAATTTTAAGTTCTTTGGACTAGAATCAAGAGAATCCCATATAGACAGACCAGATCCTAAGGCATCCTTCTAAAAATAGCTGACGAAACCTCTAAAGAAGATCTAAGGAACTTGAACAGTCAGAAAGATCAGAATTCAAAGATACCTCTTGTAGGGCTGGTCTATCAACAAGTCACCTAAGAACTTCGGATCGTAGACTGGCTATAAGAAATCCCACGGGCTTATGAAAAACAAGGAACAAAAGACAAAGTCAAAAGGCACTGCCTGAAATTGTAAATGCAGCAAAGTGCAAGTAGCACTGATGACACAGGCAAATGAACATATAAGGATGGATTTCTTTTTAGGAAAACGAGAAGTTGAATTCTGCCAGAAAGGCCTGGAATCCATACACAAATGAGTGTTGAACCCCACCACTCATCTTGGTCAGAACCAGTACTGTACAAGATTTATTTTCTTCCCTTTCTAGCTGGCCTACCACACCAGATAAATATCCAGGAAGAGAGTTTTGTTTCTAGTTAAATGAGATTTGCAGTGTTGTCTTTTACTGTTTACTGATTAAAAGGAGGGAGAGAAACCTAAATCTCTCTGATCATTCTGGAAAACCATTTGCTGGTAGTGTATTTTCTTTTTATTTGTTTTGGAAACCTTGCAAGCTTTGGAAGAAAATTCTGCTTTAAGGGGGGAAATCTAGAGAACCCACACATGTGTCTTTTTCATTTGACTTTCTTTTTCTTACCCTTTTTCCTCCGACATGCTCTTCTTCCTTTTTCCCCTCCACCCTCCTTTTATTTTGGTCACCATACACTAAACTGTCATGGAGGTCTCCCTGCACTTACATCACTGGCACTCCCTGGTAGCACACCATGGAACCTACCAAGCTATTTAGCTTCACAGTGGTACAAATAACTGCTTCCATGGCAGCTGCTTTCCTGCTGCCCCGCTCTTTGACCTACTTTTGAAGAAAGAAGGGGATGATACAGAATGAGGAGAAGAAAAGGATCACAGTTGGGCATCACATACATATACCTGGAGATTAAGAGAGAAGAGGCCTAGGGGAACTTTTCTATCCTTGCACAGAGGCAAGACACCGGGAGTTCAAGGTGAGACAGTACCATCAGCAAGCAGTACAATGTAGGCTAGAGAGGGGGAGTGGGAGAGAGGGAGAGAAAGGAATCTTGGAAGGTGAAGAGGGTAAATATAATCAAAACAGATCACAGAGCACCCACAGGTGAGACTGGGGTGGAGCTGGGCCAAAGCAATTATAACCCAGTCTGCGCAAAGAGCCACAGAAATCAGAGAAAGGGGCCACATCTAGTACATCTTTTCAGCAGCTAGTTCAGGATCAGTTTGTCCTTAAAACACCCCAAGGGACTATGCCAGTCAGACTACCAGCCCCATGCTGGGGTAAAACTTTCAGTCTGAGAAATCACAGACATTATTCCACCCACATTTTTCTTTGCTTAATTTAATCCTTTTTATATCCCCTTGGACCCTGTCTCCCTGCTGTTCCTCCCCTTCCAATATGTGTAAACAGACTCCCTGACTCCTAAAAACTCACCCAAGAAAATAGTACTTCTGGTTAAACTCTGCATGCCCAAGGGAAAAGGTATGGGAAGAAGACAGCAGGCAGCACCTGAGACCCAGAGAGGGGTAAGGGGTAGCAGCTGGCAGTCAAGACCTGCAGGACAGCAGCCAAGACCCACAGGGGAGCTATTTTTCCTTGTATATGTTAAGTTTCAATCACTACAAAAACACAGAAAACTTTCTTCTAAAAAGTTGGACCCAGTCCATCCTCCACATGCAGGGAATGTCAGCATAATGCCTCACTGCCAGGCTGGTGGCAGAGGATTATGGTACATATCCTCCAACTAAGCCCAAGGACAAAGAGTGGCTTGCAGAACACTACAGTTGCTTCTTCCATCTCCTATTCATTGGGCTTGCTGAGGCTGGGAGTGTTGGAGCAGCAGCAAGCCCTGTCCAGGCACTGCTCCACTATGTCCCTTCAAATAACTCAGGATGGCCCGAACAGCCATCCCTTTGCTGTCAGAAGGTCACCCGGTATCTAGGGAAGTCAGAAGAAAGCTTCTGAGGACTCTAGGGGCATCTAGCTCTACCTGTGAAAAGCACAGACAAATCTGAATCAGTTTAGCTTCATCACCGTCTCTGCAATATAAAATGATTGTCAGCATCAGAGCCTTCACAAATTAGCTCTAACCTCGGCAAAGCCTCTAATGTGGGAGTTCAGAGAGTATCCCAAAGAAAGACAACAGAATAGGTTTACAAGGGTGACACATGGTCCTAGGGAGTTCAGAGGTCACTTCTCCTCCATTGAAGGTATTAGAGCATGCATCACTATTTTGTATTTATAACTAGAGATAAAAGTCTGATGTCATTTACTATATCCAGCCACCGACAAAAAACAGTGTACGCTAAGCCTTCAAAGTGAAACTCCATCAGTCACCTTTACTCAACTGGGCAGTTACTGTTCCTTCCAAAACCCTCAACAAGTACCTCTGTCACGGCAAAGTCAAAGATTTATTTAGATTACACCAAGTTAGGAAAATGAGATTTACTTTTTTAAGTGAATTTGTTGCTGGTGTAAGGTACCAAATAGATAGTACAGGAAACTGACAACCTGCCCTCCACAAAACTAGTTCAGCCTGGGTAGCACAATGCAAGGTATTCTGTACTAATAAATCACTACAAGAGTCACAGCAGTTTACTTTCTAAAACATACCCACTCTGCTCCTGTTTCCTTCCGGTGAGGTTGTCTGTAACTGAGCCATTGGCACATACCCAGTAGGAACCAATCTCAAAACACTATCTCATTTTACAAAGGACACCAAACAACCACTGGATGTTAATATGCGCTTACAACTGACCTAGGCTGGATGTGAACCAGTGACCTAGAGGTGAAAAGCTTCATATCCCATTATGAGTCTCCAGAGTCATCCGAGCCCCCCAAATCAGTTGATTCCTAAGAGAAAGTCAGTTTTTAAAGGGCACAAGCAAGTTAAAAAAGCTTCACAAATCACTTGGCATATATGCCCATTATACACTGTAATTTCAGCAAAAGCAGCCTTTATACTAGCAAGAAATAGAACAGAACAGTAGATGAGTGATAGATGGATGAACATTAATTCTCCATCATGCTTCCTTCTTTAATGGATTGAAGTACAAACATAATTATGGGCATCACCTACTTTAACTGCCATAATTTGCCCACTTGGTTTGTGGACCATTTTGTTGACAGAACCATAAGCGCCTCGTCCAATTTCTCCAAGGTCTTTCAAGTCCTCTGCAGTAAAATCCCAATGTTGTTCAGGGGAAATCTTCAATTTTCCTGATGATTCAATGCTGTGTGTTCTCAGTCTCTCTCTGTCAAAAATATTGGGAAGCAATTTTTCCACATTTTAAATAGTTTGTAACTTTCTCTTTTCAGCAGCACTTGATTAAACATTAGAAGAGAGGGGTTCATATAGACTATAGCAACAATGATTCCAAGGTGGACTCTGGTTAGGAGTGCAAGATTGAGGGATAATATTAGATTGAAAATTAAATACATTAGCTCACAGCTTCACATTACTTTAAGTTTTCTCAGCTGCGGTATAAGGCTCAACATATCTCTTATATTAGAGTCATTCTAATCACTCTCCTACACAGTTACTTTCTACTTTTGCACAAAAATGCAATAGGCTCATAGATGGACTCAGAATAGCATGCAGAATCAACAGTTTGAAGAGTACTTCCCAGTCCCTTATATACAAAGCTACATGTGCCATTTCCACTTCTCTGCAGTGAATGCAGCATTACACTCTATAGTGACTGACTGTATTACTTGTACTGGCCATGACACACAGGGATTTTAGCAGGAGTTTTATGGAGACCATATTGATCTTAATGAAAATTTGCAATTTATTTCAAATATGGCATAAATGTCTTCCTTCAGTTGAAAAAAATGCATGAAGAGCCATTAATTTCTTTTACATTTATAAAATACAAATTAATCATAACTCAAGAAACTACCAGCCCACAAGCTTCTTGAAAAGTGATTCCTGACAAAGTGCCTGATCCTGAAGTCCGTGGGCACAGATTGCTCCCACTAACCTCAACAGGAGCTTCTCTGTGTAAGGAGTATAGTGGTATCTATGGTTTAGAGTAGAAAAGTAACAGATTTCCAGTTATTTTAAGGTGCTTCCTATTACTTATTCCTATGTATTTTCAACACTTTTTTCCTACTAAATAACAGTGCTTACCTTAAAAAATCTGTGAAAGTTTCCAGTGAATCTCATACATTAATCGTTGATTAGCACTTGTTTTGTCATAAACTATGCTAGGGACTGGGCTCCTGCTTTAAGTAGCATTAATAAAAAGCCAGCTCTCACTGGGTACATCTACACATGCAATTAAGGCAAAGCAATAAACTCCGGAGCACTTTGAGCCAGTGTGTGCTGCTCCTAGGCACAGCGTCTACACAAGCACCCAGGACCACAGCACTTTCAACCAGGGCAGAGCAGGCCCAGGCAGGTAGCAGGCATGGGGTAGGTTAGCCCTAGGCTCCAGGCAGCAGCATCGGGGCTGGCTGGGGCATGACCGTGCCAAAAGCATGGAGCCGTATGGCTAGGTGGCAGGCAGCCCCACACTTTAGCACACTTGTGCCCCACCCACCCTGTCACCATCTACACGTGCATTTCATTGCACTTAGTTACTCTGCCATAAAATAGTACTGTCCCTGACAGGACTATCTTACAGCAGAGTTAATTAATTTACTGCACCCTAATATCGGCACACATGTAGATGGAGCTGCTTTACTGCGGAGCTAATTAGTCAAATCCACACTAAAACACACATGTAGATGGACCTACTGAGAGGCATCAGCATCATGGATTTATTAAACCACCGTTATTTGTATAAACCACATAAGCAAGGGATTTTCTGTCAAACTAATCGCTAATCATATTTGTTTCATTTGGGCATATGACAAAGCAACGGACATTTCCAGCATTTGGTCAAATGAACAATAACAAGGACTAGACATCTGATCAGACGTTTAAAATGTCTTGTTACCAGCCAAAGGAGCCAATATATTACACTTTATTCCAGTTTATGCTGATAAATACAAGAGAATGCCATCAGCCAGCAGCAGCAAATGACACCTTGTCTGATGTTATAATGGGCCTAATCCTAAACTCTTTTAGGTTTCACTGGAATTTTAGACTTTTAAAGGCAGAGGTATCCTCCATTAGGCACACAAAAGCCTGCAAGAAGCAGAAGTTTTCTTCATTATTCAGCATTCCTCAATTCCTGTGTGTTTAATCCCACAACTAAAATAGCTGCATTAATTTAGTTTTGGATAGAATTAAATTAACAATAAGCAAGGAATGAAATCAAGGAAATAGAAGAAAAGAGGCATTTTTTTTTTTTAAAAAGAACAACTAAAACTAAGAATAGAATAGAAAGCCTTCTGACTTTGCCCACTGCTTTTACTGAATATAAAAGGCAGTCCACCTAGACAGCAGAGTGACAATAATTAGTTCCTGCCTTGCTGGTTTCACATTTTGACTTGTCAGTAATCAGAAAATAGTTCCACTTTTTCTGGAAGAAGCTAGTAGGGGTGAACCACTGCTCAGAAAGGGCATTAAAACATAGCATCTCCTGCATACTCTTCTTAGCCAGAGTAACAAAAAGAGAGGTTGATAAATAGCCATCCAGGGCAATGAAGAGAAAACCTGTTGATGGAAACTCATGCTGGACTAGATGACCTCATAAGGTCCATTTGAGACCTACTTTCCTAGGATCTTATATTGTCGCTGCAACGTGGGGGAGTAGAGCTGGTCAGAAACATCCCATGGAAATGTCTCAATTTCACCAAATTTTGTTTCAGAGGGAGGGAAGAAAGAAGGCATTTGAATGAGGCTGAAGAATTCATCATCATCATTTTCTGAACAAAATGTTTTGATTTTTCATTTCAAAAGGCCTTTTCATGTTGATTTCTTTTACTTTATATCATAAAAGTACTAAACATGCAGAAACAGAACAATTCCACCAACCCAAAATGAATTTTTAAATGTTGTTGCATAGAAAATTTGAGGGGGGGAGGTCCATTCCAAAACATAAAATATAAATAAAACTCTCAGAATTTCCTGTGAAAAAGAAAATCCTTTTCTTTTCTAGACCTTATCTGAATGTTAACTCAATCTGCAGGGCAGAAGACTAAGAGAAAGGATGAAGGTACAGTCCAGGCTCTGCCTGTCTTCCTACAGATGGGAAGTCCAATGTACTGAATCTGGTGTAAATCTGGAGCATGAATCCCAAAAGAATAGGTTCTGGTCATAAATACTAACAGTACTCATACAAGTTTCATTACATTGTTGCTTGATTTAATTTCCTTTTTCATTAAAAAATATATTCTCAGTTGCCATCAGAGCTTCAGTCACCTTTCCAAATGTCCACATGAAATGGTCATTTGGCTAAAAAAGTTTCATAAAGATTATTTTAATTTAGGCAAAGTGATAGAAGACAATGTTGAAGTTTTCCTGTGAGAAGCACAGAGTGATTTATGTAAGTTTTTATAGTAGAATTTCTTAAAGAGAAAGATAATGTACGACTTTCATACATTAGGGATTTCTACATTGGTGAATCTGCACAAGAGTGCAAATCTCAAGCATCAGTGAGTGCTCTGCACTGGTATAAAACTAAGTTCAGTCATACCAGTGTAAATCCCATCAGCACCATGCATTTATGGGTTGGTCTGCAATGATATAGCTACACCAGTGAAAAAAACCCTAACACAGACAAGCCCAAATTAGACTGAAAATATTTAAATGTTGCCTTAAGGAATTAGATTGCTGAACAGTAAAAGAGCAACTCTGGAGTACGATACTCAGATAAAGTGAGAAATAGTTAATGCCCAGTTCCTGCGTCCTTGCTCCTGTGTGCCAATCAGAGTTCAATCATTCACAATTAGTACTAAATTAGTCTTCTCTTACCCTTTTTCCCTTTTGTTTTCTGATTATGCAAATCAAAGTTATCTAAGGCTAAGAATGTAGGTACAAAGCCATTTCATCTGCAGGACATATATATTTTAGAACAACAAGAAGCATCCAAGGAATAACCCAAAACCACTTGGTGGGGGGTTTTAAGGTTAAATAGCATACACTAACAGCAAAATAACTTTTAATATATATACAAGTAGAGCTTGATTAATATTCTTATCCTCAAACAATTTAAAGATGGAGTTTTCAAAGGGCCCTCAGGATTCTGGTGTCCAACTCCCATTGACCTCTCTGGGATTTGAACTTTTAATTTCCTTCAGTATCCTTGAAAATCCCAGGTGAGAATGTTGAACCAAAAATTATTAGAGATGTCTAAATCCCATGGGGTTTGAACAGATGATGAGGCTGATACTTTATGTAACCACTGTTATATCTGGAAAACACCAATATATGGGTCTTATAACAGACAGTTGCTTATAATGGCAGCTATATTGCAGGAAGTAGGAACATCAAGTAAGATAATTATTCTTTCTTTCTAAAGAAAGAAAAATGGTTGTGTATCCAGGTTGGCAGCAGACCCACAGGATATTTAAATCCGGTACCACAACTAGGCCAAGGACAATGCCACCCAAATTCAGGATGTGAAGCTGCTAATAAGTTTGGCAAGCCAGATTCTTACAAGGAAGCTCGTTGTATCTACACAGCACACAAGATTTCAAAAGCCTAACCACAAAGATATTTGGGTTTTAGATATGATAATTGTTGCTTTATTATTCACTGTTATATTTTTTTCTTTAATCCCTACTATTAGCATCCTGTCCATAGGGATATTAATGCTTTAAAAACTTTTCACATGAAAAAAGTCCTGTGGGGGCAAACAGAAAGATGGTAGAAAATTTCAAGCAAAACTTAGCCATTAGGAATAAGACCCTATGTAACAGATCAAGACCAGAAGAAAAAATGGCTAGGCAAACTGTCTACATCTTCAATGATCTACTTTGTGTCCTTTAGCTAAGTGGTGCTTGCGAATTTCAGAGGAAAAGGGACTCAGCACTACAGTGGGTATATAAAACACAGATTGTGCATTGTTTGAGAATTCAACATACAAACTGTACTTTACAAACAGGACTAATCTAAGATCCATGAGGAAGTCACTCTTTAAGGCTTCCACTTGCAATGATATTACTAAAAATATATTCCAAATTTACTTGTTCCAAACCTTGGTAAAAAGATACTGTACAAAATAGCATATGAAAAACCATTTTGTGATGAACAGGCTGGTAAGTCAAATAAATGACGAAGGTAAATTCATAGAAAAAAAAGGCTTTCATGCCAAGATCTCTGGCTTAATAAGGACTTCTGTATTGTTTACCGTTCCAAAATAAAATTAGGTTTATGATTTGGCTAACAAATCTAGATCATTTATTTGAACAGTGCAAAATTTCTTTAGGCTTTTTGCTGAATTGTGGTCTTTATAAAATAATCTGTATAAGTGGGAGCTAACCAACACTAATAAAACAGTAACCCTATTTTACATTTCACAGAAGCGGGGTGGACTTTTTAGCAGCAAAGGTGCAATAATTTCTAGTGGTTTTAAAGTATCAGCTCCCTGACGAAATTTTGACAGAATCCCAAGAAAAATTTCTCCCTTGCAATAACCAGGCTAACAAAATAATAGGAATTTCTGTTCCAGGTATAATACCTCTTATTTGCTATTTGTACATCATTCTGACATTTATTCTCATCATCTGTTTTTAATACATTCAGCATCCCTCAACCAGTAAATCTCAAAAACAAAAGCCCATTCCTTTCTTCATCAAGAAATGACAGAATCTCCATTTAGGCTGATTTTGGCTTTTGATAGTATTAACAAATTTTCAAAGAGATCTCCGCAATGCCCAGGTAACGGTGCAGAATGTGTCACAGCTCTCAGAGCCTGATCCAAACACACATTCACAGCCAAGAAATGTTTCCAACCAACTTCAACAGGGCTGGATAAAGCCTTTAGAAGTTCCAACATTTTCTTTTGACAGACAGAATCATTCTTTATGTACAAAAGGATTATTATAAAGAGGAAGGTGATCAATTGTTTTCTGTGTCCACAGGGGACAGAACAAGAAGTAATAGCCTTAGACTGGAACAAGGAAGATTTAAATTAAGTATTAGCAAGAACTTCTAATTATGAAAGTTGTTAAGCACTGGAGCATATTACCTAGAGCAGTGGTTCCTCCTTAGAGTTGAGGCACCTCTCAGAAAATGTCAGCTGTTAGTTTTCTCTCTTTTTTTGACTACACAAAAAAAATAACAGAACAATTCTTCTGTTGCAAAGAACTTAGAAAGACTACAACAGGTCAGAATGTTTCTAACACTATAACTTCCTATTTGAAATCGCCGAGTTTATCTTGTGAATCATGTGTGCAGACCTAACAGTGCTAACATTGCATGGAACCTGACAAAGGATCTTATGGCACCTCAGGGTGCTGCAGCACCCTGGGTGAGAATCACTGACCTAGAGATATGATATCTTCTTCATTAGAAGCTTTCAAGAGCCAATAAGAGAATCATTTGGCTGGGGCAGTTTAAGCAGGAAATGCCTGCCTTGGGAAGGGGGCTGTGCTACATGACATTCTTGGGTCCCTTCCAGTCCTACTTTTCTACTCTATGAATGAATGCTCCAATTCTATAATTTTGCCCTCAAATTTATGCCAGGGTAATTTAGATTCAGACCAACCCTGTCCAAAATAATGGAGTCCTTCTGATCTGTTACTCTGGCCCCAGGCATAAATCCGTAGACCACCACACTCATCTTTGTTTGAAGGGGACCATGCAGCCAGACCCATTCACCCAACCTATCAGGGATAGATATTTTAGGCTTTTGTTTTGATTCAAACTTTATGGAGTAATATCAAAATCTTTGAGTTAGTAAATTTAATAACCCTTCTAAAAAGGCAGACTGTTTTCTGAAAAACATACTTCCTCAGCCAGTGCCAGATATCAGTGAGAGAACAGGAAACAGTGACATGAGCACATCATTAAGTATAAACATCAGAATATATTTTAAATAATTTTTAAAACCAGTATTGAAATGTGATATAATTATTACTATACAGAAATAACTCATGGAATGACTGCATCACTGAGAAAAATTCTATTAGTTCATAGATGCCACTTTTGCTGATATGGAAATATTTGACAATGGCTAACAGACAGTTAAGCTTACTGTAGCCTGCTGGAAAGTTTCTGGATGAGGTCCGCTTCTCTCTTGAAAGTGAACGGGACAATGTGATTACTACTCAGTGTTGCTTGTGTATCACTTCAGCCAGGAAAGAGTTGTGAAAATGACAGGAAAACATGGTGCTGTTATCATATGACACAATAATGTATAACACAATACTCATCTAGACACACTGTCTGTGGAGTGGCTAGCATAAGAAATTAGTTCACTTTATTTTTAAGCCTATCTAATACACCCCCCTTAAAAGGGAGCAATGCACTAGAATTACTCTTAATGCATCATATTATTTTGTTTTCTTAGAGCAGTGGACATTTTATTTTCAATTGTAATATTATTATAAATACCAATCATTGAAATCAAATCTACTAACCAAAATAACTACATTAACACCACCTTGCAGCCTTATGGCAGAGATTTACCATATGATCATCATCATTTACTTTCCTCTTGTGCTTTGAAAAAGGAGAATTTCTTACCTTAAAAACTACTGGCTTGGATCCACCCAGCTAGAACTGGTAGTCATTCCAATTTAGACCTGTCAGTGAAGGAAGGTCAGCCCATCCCCTACTGAATAATGCTGTAAATCTTGAGAGCACTACATTCTTTCCTTTTATTTTCAGACCTCCGTGGCTAACAGAGGAACCAAAGGTTGGCTACTAATCCGTATAGTGTGACTTGTTCGGAAATAAAAATAAGGCTCTGAATATACATTTCTCATATACATTTCCGGTGAGAAACTTTTCTTTCCTATGGCTAGGTTCCATTATTTAAGAATGGATGGGCTCTGGCTAGTAGAACCCCTTTTAAAGCATTTTGGGAAGATAGACAAAAAATGATCATGCAAATAGTTCTGCTTACAAGCATAGCAACCATGAAAAATGATGTTGAGAAACAGCTGCATGACTGCACAACTCATTCTTTGCAAACAACTCAAGAACTAGAACTCCTTATGCTAAACATCATCATTATATTCCTGTCATATACAATTTCTCTATTATGACTGTTCTTAAAGCCATTTTGCTAATGTAAACCTTGCACTTTGTTAATATTGTTAAGAGAAACAATTACCAGACGCAGAGTTAAATGCTGGGAAACTTAAAAGCCTTTCTGACCTCTAGATTGTTTTAGTCTTTTAAAGAGAGTGTGGGACAAATTCTGGTACTGATGTGGTTAATTCTGAAATTCACTGCAACTTTAAAGAGACACCTAGTCATGAAAGGAACACCTTTGTATCTATTTCAGGCAAGGATGCATCTGAAATACAGGAATCATCCCACTAGAGCAGTGATTCTCAACCAGGGTGTTATGCTATGACAGTCTTTGAAGGGTGCTGCAGAAAGAGAGGAGATAGGCAAGATAAGTTTGAGGGGATGACTGCAGGCTCTTCCCTTCCAGCTGCTTGTCTTCCCACAACTCACTTCACTGTAGGCTCTTCCCTGCCAGCTGTTCTTCTACCTTCCCCCAACCCCTCCGTAAGGAGATATGTACTATAACAAATAAATTAGTTTTTGAAATGGGGTAACAATTCACAAAATTTATGCAGGGGTGCCTCAAGTCTATAAAGGTTGGGAACCACTGTCATCATCAGCAGTCCCTCAGTACAAGAAGGACAGACTTCCAATAGATAGAGAAGCCACTAGTGAGTCCTTAGGTGACTGAGGAAGCCGATATGTGACCCACGTGTTTGGCTGCCAACATAGCAAATAGTTCTGGAAGGAAGGACTAGACCCTGGTAACAGTGGGTTACAGCTCTTTTCCTTTATCTCTGTCATCTATATACTTTCATAGTGAGATGGGTTTGCTAGAAATGACCATACAGAATGCCACTGGGGATGATTCAGTGCTCAAGTCTCCCAGGTATCGATGTTAATATTGCATTTCTTCATATTAGCCTTCAAAGTGACCTGGAATCTCTTTTGCCTGCTTCTAGAGCAGTGATCATCAGTGAGTTGGGGGTTCAGGACCTGCTTGGGATTTGGTTGTCAGGCATCCTTATGACATGTCTTGTCCAATGAAGATCGTGCTGCATAAACATGGCTTCAAGGCTGATAGTGCTTGCTGGAGTCAAAACGCTGATATTTATTCTTCAGTCCTTCCAGTTGATATGGATGATTTTCCAAACATATCAGCGATGGTAACATCCCAAAGCTTTCAGGTGGTACTGATATATTGTCCAGGTTTCATACCCATATACCAGAGTAGGAATGACAACAGCTTCGTAGACAATAAGCTTGGTTTGGCTTCTGATATCATAATCAAAGACTCAATTTTGGAGATGTCCAAATGCAGCACTGGCAGATTTTATCCAGTGTTGAATATTGTCATCTAGGTTTACTGTTTGGGACTGGTGCCTATTCTGGTAGCGGAAATGCTCAGCGTTCTCCTAAGATTGAGCTCTAATTGTAATACAAAGAGGAACAGCTAGACAGTTTGGGCTAGAAAGCTGACCGAAAGTCCAAGCATTTCATACACTTCATGGAAACAGCAAAGAGTGACCTAAAACTCGTCAAATGAGTGGGCACATGTGACAACTGTCAGCATAATGAAGATCAGTTATGCAGGTCTTGGTTATCTTGGATTTGGAATGTAACTGATATTAAAGCGATTCCTGTCTGTGCAATACTAGATGCTGACTCCAGATGGAAGTCTATCAGCAACGAGATGCAGAATAGCTACAATATAGATGGAAAAGAGTGCTGGTGCAACCACACACCCTTGCTTGACTTGAGTTCTAATAGTGAAAGAGTGCGTTTCCAAGCCATTGCTTAAGATGGTTGCCAGGCAGCTGCTCTCAGGAAGAAGTGTGGTAATGGTAAAAAATTTTGACAAGTATCTAAATCTTAACAGGATCTTCCAGAGGGCCTCTATGTTGATTGAAGAAAAGACCTTAGGCCAATAAAAGCCATGTCAAAGATCTTGGTTTTGCTCCTGGCATTTCTCCTGCAGCTGCCTAGCAATTCTTTTGTACCCCTGAGTGATCTAAAACCACATTGGGACTTGGGTAGAATCTCCTCATTAAGGAAAGTGAGTTTATTAAGGAGATTGCAGGCAAGGATCTTCCTAGCTATGAACAGGAGTACCATAATATGGTAATTGCTGCAAAAGAATTCTCTTTTCTTGAATATGGTAATGATTCTGGCCTCTCTCAAGTCACAGAAAATCTGTTCATGTTTCCAGATTTTCATAATAGTGAGACGTAGTTGAAGAGAGAGATTTTTCCCACCCCGCTTATAAATTTCAGCTAATATTCCTTCAGTCTCACATGCTTTGTTGTTCTTCATCTGCTTAATAGCTTTCAAGGCCTCTTGGTTCTACAAGGCAGTCCTTAATAGGGTGTTGTAATATGGTTTCCACAGTATTGTCTTTGGCACTGGAATCTTGATCCAGAACCTCTTGCAAGTGCTCCTTCCACTGTGGGTTGATGGTGAGGTGCTGTTCCATCTGTTGAGAGCAAATTCAGGCCTGGATCATGAAACTCTATGTTAAGTAGGTCAGCAGATGACCTCTACTGGACCCACCCTCTGCAGAGTGAGGTCAGCTACCTGCAAAGGCCCTGAATAGAGTGCCGTGTGCGCGCCTGCGTGCTGAGTGCAGAGCCTTGTGAGTGGAGTGCACTACCTGTATAAAACCTCATTTTGATTGACGGCTCCGTGTGTGTGACTGGGCACGCTTGAGCTTGGTGTGTGTGAAGGTGCGTATGTGAGTGTGAGGAGAGAAAGAAGTGACAGGAAGGATATGATAGATTGGATGAAGTGAGTGATTGGGTGAAAGGCGGAACACGAGCGGGACCACAGCGTGGAGCTGAGATTCCTCTCATCGCCGGGGTTCATCCATTGCTGAGGCTGCCTTGAGTCAGGAAGGAGTCGGCTCACTGACAACTCCCCGTCAGTTGCACGACAGTGCTATGGTAGCGGCTCCCCTGGTTCCGGTGTAAGTATCGCCCCTCCTAGGTGGGATTGGATCCAGGCTATCACTGTCCTGAAGCCCTGTAAGTGACCAGTAACCCACACAGAAGTAGGCAGGCTTTGGGTACTGGGGCAAAGGGGAGACAGAGTTGAACACTGGCGGAGCCTTCAATAAATGAATCTTTCTTTGAATCTCTGCTCTTCGACAAAGTTCGGATTCACAGAATTTTCACTGTGTGTGTTTATACTTTGTAGTTAACTTTACTGTTGTTTCCAAAGTGTGTTAATTAATAAACCGTTTTATTCATGTACCGTAAGCAGTTCTCTTTGTGATTATTAATTTTAAATCAGCGATAGATACGGACAGGGCAAAGACCCACCATACCTTTCTGGGGAGAGATCCAAGAGGAAGGAGCTGTTTGGGCCTGCTTTATAAATTGGTTTAAAAGAGTGACCACCCCCCCGCCACATCCTTGGATCTCAGAGGGATGGCTCAGTGTGTGCTTGGCCCATAGATAACTCTGTTTGTGCTGAAGAAACCATGGAGGCAGTGGCTGTTGACAGCCTTTTGAATTTCTTTTGCTTTGTCCTTCTTCTTTTGCTCTCTAATTTTCTTTTGGGTCTCAGCTTAAATGTGGTGATAAGTGTGTTGCTTCTTTTTGGAGCGGATGTCATTCTGCCAAGGCCTGAAGACTCTCTTTTTTCTGTCAGTGAAAGCTTGTATTTCCCTATTGTTCACCTCAAACCATTTCTGATGTTTGTTTGTGGAGACGCCTAGCGATTCTTCACACACCTCACAGATACCTTTCTTGAGGCTCTCCCAGTAGTCAGCACGGATCCTGGTTTTCTTTGATTTAAAAAAATCCCAAATTTTTGGTGAAAAAAAAGTAACCCCAAATCCACATTTTCCTGTGATTTAAATGAAACAAGACTAATATATAGATAGATAGATATAGTGGTGTTTCATTTTAATCACAAAAATATGGACTTGAGATTACTTGTTGTTTAATTGAAAATTGGGATTTTTTTTTAAATCAGAGAAAAGCAGGATCCCTGGTAATCAGTGGTATTGAGATGTTAGAGAGTTTCTCAACGAGACATTTCTGGAGATGATTACTTTTAGCAGGGTCTTTCTAGCACTTGATATTGAATCTCCTCCTTGGTTGCTTCTTT